GAAGCAGAAGAATCACCATATTCAGTTTGTGAGATTATTATGCTTGGAGAGCACATGAAGGAAGTGTACTGAGCCCAGAAGCCTGGGGGCTTATGGTGTTGTTGTTGTTGTTGTTGTTATGTGCCATCGAGTTGGACCCGACTCATAGCAACCCCTCCTTGGGTTTCCGAGGCAGTATCACTACAGAAGTAGATTGCCCCATCTTCCTTCCGAGGAGTGGCTGGTGGGTTTGAACTGCCAGCCTTCTGGTTAGCAGTCAAGTGCCTTAGGCACTATGCTACCAGAGCTCCTTGGGGGCTTATGGTAGGATCCCTAATTGGAGTCCTGAGACTAAGCTCATCCTCTGAGTTTGACATGAGTCCTTAGTCTTGGGAACTCACAGCTGAACCCACCAGTCTCGAGTCAACTAAAAATCAGAGAATGAAAAAAATTTGAGAAGTAGCAGCAACAATCTTCCCCCTTTCTTTCTTCCTAGACAATGATTAGTTGTCATTGTAGCAGATTCTCTTGTACCTAATTAAATGCTGAAGAAGCTAATCTTAAACTTCATTGAAATTATGGGTTTTATGGAATCATGTAGACATGAAAGATGAATCTGTGCCCACTATTAGGTTTGACTCTGTTCAGCAACTGAGCCAAGCCCATGAACAACTAAAGCTACTGGAGGTTGAACAGCTAGACTATGATTCTGTTTATTTCTTTGATAAATAAAGGCCATGTACAAATGAATGAAAACCAGAGTCTTGGACAGTGCAAGAGATCAACTTTCAGCACTGATCTGAGCAGAATGTCAAAGTAGCCAGGATTGCTGCAGGAAAGGGTAAGCTCTGGCATCTGTGAGTACAGAAGAGAAATGTACACACGTGCATTGTATGCATGCTCCAATCTCTTACCTACTGTGCCTTCAACATAAGCAATAGACTTAATGCATCAATTTGAAATATTATTCCCATCCCATTTAATTATATGCACTAAGATTCCACCCCCTCCCCCAACAACAACAGAAAGACACAGAACAATAATCAAAACCTCTTACTAATAGTTGAATAGTTTATATCATCACTATACAAATTTACTTAGAATCATAGAGATTCCTTTGAATCTCAACATTTTCCTGGATATGCACTCTTTAAAAAAAGTTGCCATTTCTAGAATGGCTTCATGTTACATCTCTACACACTGGCCCACGAAAAACAAGACTGTCTTAGTTATCTAGTTCTGTTATAACAGCAATACCAAAAGTAGATTGCTTTAACAAACAGAAATTTATTGTCTCACAGTTTAGGAGGCTAGAAGTCCAAATTCAGGGTGTCAGCTCTAGGAGAAGGCTTTCTCTCTCTGATAGCTCTTGGGGAATGTCTTTGTCTCCTTTAACATCTGTGGGCCCAGCCTTCCTTGGAGATCTCCATGTGTCTTGGCATCAGTCTTCCCCTGGGTCTAGGAGGTTCACAGCATAGGGACTCAGAGTCCAAAGGACACACTCTGCTCTTGGCTCTTCTTTCTGAAGGGTAGTAAAATCCCTCTTTCTCTGCTCACTTCTCTCTCCTTTTATCTCTTGTAAGATAAAAGGCAATACAGGCTACACCCCAGGGAAACTCCCTGTACATTGGATCAGGGCTGTGACCTGAGTAATGGTGTTGCATCCCATCCTAATACTCCTTCAACTTACTGAAAGATCACATAATAGGGAATGATTACAACATTATATAACTGCCAAATTATATCATTATATAACTTCCAAATTACTGAGAATCATGGCCCAAAGTGACACATATTTTGGGGGGACATAATTCAATACATGGGAGCTCTGGTAGCATAGTGGCTAAGGCACTTGACTGCTAACCAGAAGGCTGGTGGTTCAAACCCACCAGCCACTCCCCAGAAGGAAGATGGGGCAATCTACTTCTGTAGTGATACTGCCTTGGAAACCCGAGGAGGGGTCATTATGGGTCGGATCTGACTCAATGGCACATAACAACAACAACAAAATTCAATACATGACATTCCATCCTTTGGCCCCCACAAATTTATGTCCTTGCCACATGCAAAACTCTTTCACCCCATTATATCATCCCAAAAGTCTTATATTGACTCCAAGTCCAAATTCTTTCCTGAGGCAAAATCCCTCTTAATTTGTGAACCTATGAAATCTAGAATACAAGTTATCTACTTCCAAAGTACAATGGTGGAACAGTAACAAGGTAGACATTTCCATTACAAATGGGAGAAATTGGAGAGGAACAAGGGATAACAAGCACCAAGCAAGTAAAAGATCCAGCAGAACTAATTTGCATTAGCTCTCACAGCTTGAAAATCATCTTCTGTTCTCAGACCACTTAGGCAGTGGCCCTGCCCTCCAGACTCTGGTTGATGGCTACACTCTTTGGAACCTGGGTAGAGGTCTCTCAGGCCTGGGCTTCAGCTCTACCTTCCAGGCCCACTTAGATGGCAGTTATCTTCTCTTGGCTTCAAATAACCCCATTCTCCTAGTACAACTGAGTAGCAAGCAACTCTACCTCCCTGACCCCAGCTGGCCCCATTCTTATGCCCCTTGGGCATGGCAGCCCCATCCCTTCTACTTGGGGCAGAGGTTCCAGCCCCATCTCCCTGGAACTTGTGAACAGCAGCCCCATACTCCAGAACTGAGGTGGTGAGGATCTGATCTTTGAAACCTAGGAGGCCATAGCCCCACCTTTGAGGCCTAGAAGACTGCAGCTCCACCCTTTGACACCCTAGAGGTTGTCGCCCTACCCTTTGAGACCAAGGCAGCTCTACTTCCCGGACTCTTTGTCTCTTCATCTTCTGCTTCCCGATTCCTTGGCTGAGCCCCTTAGCCCTCTGTGCTTCTTGGGTAAGCCCAGCCCTGCCCTGCTTAGGCAAGTGTTACAAAGCTCTTTAGTTCTGCCAGTAAGTTGCCCAGAGGCACTTCATTCAATCAGTGAGCCTTGGCCCAAATGTACAAGGCACTCTTGTTCTGTGGATTGGCAAGTCTAACTCTGTTGACAAGTGCTCAGAGGCACCCTACTGCACCAGGAAGCTTCCTGCCCAGAGGCACTCAGTTCTCTTGCTCTGTAGTTCAGCTCCCATGCCATCTCATGCCAGTCTCCTAGTTCTGCTGTCACAGTTTCTCTGCCACTGCTTCTCACAATCTGTACCATCTCTTCACTTCCTTTTGAGACCTGACTAGAATTGCCTTTGACATCTGTAATTCCACCAACATTCTCTTCAAGGCAATCTAAGCTCTTACTATTAGGCACCTTAAAACTCTTCTAGCCTTTACCCATCACCCAATTTTAAAATCACTTTCACATTTTAGGTATCTGTTAGAGCAGCACCCCATTCCTGGTACTAAATGCTGTCTTAGTTATCTCGTACTGCTATAATGGAAATACCATAAGTGGAAGGCTTTAACAGACAGAAATTTATTCTTTCACAGCTTAGGAGGCTACAAGTCCAAATTCAGGGTGCCAGTCTAGGGTAAGACTTCCTTTCTTTGTCAGCTCTGGAGGAATAGCCTTGTCTCATTTAACATCTGTTGGCACAGTATCCCTTTGAGATTTCTGTGTGTCTTGGCATCAGTCTTCTGTGGGTCTAGGAGGTTCTAAGCATAGGGACCCTTGGTGCAAAGGACATGCTCTGCTCTTGGTTCTTCTTTCTTGATGGTAGTCAGATCCACCATTCTCTGCTCACTTCTCTCACCTTTTATCGCTTATAAAAGATGATGCAGGCCATACCCCAAGGAAACTCCCCTTACATTGGATCAGGGCTATGACCTGAGTGAGGGTGTTGCTTCTCACCCTAATTCCTTTTCAACTAATTGACTGATCACATCAGATCACATCATGGGGGATGATTACATCATTACATAACTGTCAAACCACTGAGAATCATGGCCTAGCCAAATTACACATAGTTTTGGGGGACACAATTCAATATATGACAGGAACTCTAGAGATATGTTTCCAAAAAAGTCAAGAAAGATCCCCACCCCATGTGAGAACTCTGTGGAAACTAGCACAACATTTCACACTTTGGTATTTTTTTCTTTCTTTTTAAAAAAGAAGATAAAATATTACAGAGTCTTCAAAATTCACACCTGAGTTAAACATGTTGCTGAAAAACTCCACATGAAAGAGAGTAGAACAGAATTCAAAAACAGGAAAGGGCTATTACAGATATTTTGTTACTATAATTGTGTTTTTGTTTTTGTATTCTTCCTTCTGCAGCCAAAAGAAGGGGAAAAGGACAGGATATGCAGAAGCATGGGGAGGGAGAGAAAGCACAAAGGTTCCTAAACTGTAGGACAGAGGTGAACAAACAGAAGAGCACCTGTGGGCAGAGAAATGCTCCCAGGGCACCAGGAGTGGCTCAGCCTTCTGTAAAGAGGAGAGAACTTGGAGAATGCAATATGAATGGATTTCTTTCTAGGAGAAAAAGAAGTTAAATAGAAAATGAGTGGAATGAAGATTCAGTCAGAAAATTTTGCTGAACAGAGAAAACAAAGACTTTTGTGGAAACATTAGATTCCAATCTTTTCACAGATTTTGGAATCAGTTCAGGGATTGTGGCTAAATTCAGAGTCAAAACCATAATCTCCCCTTCTGGTAGTTTGACACACTTAACAAGAGGTTGTCCCCAGAAGCCCATAGATGAGTTGGAGAATAATGGCCAAGAAGTCCTTTCTCTGAAAGGTTATTGCCACAGTGAAGCTGTCTAAAATACTTAGAACTAGAAGACAAGGGCATAGGCAAGGAAGGTGAAAATGGCAAACTCCTAGGAGGGGATATATATTTCAAGAGCATTAAGAGTCAGAACAAGGTTCAATCACAGTTTGGATCTTGGGAGGCCCTCATTCCTGAAGAAAGCAAGAGTGGGCTCATTGGTAGTGGGGATTCTTCCCAACTCTTCTTAAAGCAATCTGTCCATATATAGAAGGCATGACTCCCTTCCCTTCCAGTGGGGAATACAGGGCCAGGTGGAGTAGGAGAAAATTTTTGGTCTCAGTGGAGGTAGGTGGGATGATTCCATCGGTACCAAGATCTGGAAGGAAGGAAGAAATGTCAATCAAAAAGTGATTAATGTGATGAAAGAAGGTGAGAATGAGGAGTGACTAGATGGGTATGGAGTTTCTTTTTGGGGTAATGAAAATGTGCTGAAATTAGAGTGGTGATAGTTGTATAACTTTGTAAATATATTAAAATCCACTGAATTATACACCTTAAAATGAGGTATATTATAGGTCAATTATTGTGTGTCAATTAAATCTCAACTTAAAAATTTTTAAAAGCTACTGATGTATATGACACGATTTCCCCCTTTTTTTGGTGGGGGGTGGGTGAAGAGCTCCAATTTCTTGGGCTATGCAACAATTGGCCAGAAAGAGCTGGCTGCCTTGCTCTACTGCCTTGGTTTGGACAAGTGATTCATCCCCCCTGATAAGCTCAAGGCTTTAACCTACCTCCTTACTTTGAAATCTCTGTTTTTCTCTGAATCGGCAGATGCTCTTAGAGCATCAGCTCTGAGAACAGTTTTTAGAGTAGATTTGTTGGTTCATGAGCCAATGCACAGGAGCTGCTTTCCCAGCTGCATCCAGGTAGGAGTAGGGGAAAGAGCAGGCTCCCTTCCTCTCACTGTGTCCGTTGTCTTTGTGCTTAAGCTGTAGGCTCGTTTCAGAACATCCTGGAGAACTGGGTTTCTGGCATGAAGTGGAACCCTTCTAAGCCCAGTGAAGGACAGGCCCTTTCTGACAGGATTATTTGGAAATTTCCACCCGTGAAGTGAGGATGGAAATTTTGGCTTTGTCGATATCAGTTCTTTGCCAGGACTGCTCACTGGCTAAAGCTTCTCATCTAAATCCCCCATCCCTGTGACAAACTCTCTTTCCCAAAATATTGACCCAGCTTCTCACATGCCCCTTGGCCCTGCTGGGATGGCCACTGCACACCCCTCCCCAACCACATATACACACAATCTTACCCTGAAGAATTAAAGCTGGAGGAGGAATTCACTGCTGCCTTTGAGTTATTTTGAGATGCAGTGGCGCTGCTGGCATGGAGTCCTGAGCCAGGAGACGAAGGCCTGCTGTTGTTCCCCGGGGAACAGGATGACGTGACTGAGGACAAGGAGAGGCAAAAACAAGGGGAAAATAATGCTGCTCAGTCCTGGGACCTTGTGACATTGCCCTGCAGACACATGAATCTCCTGGTATATTTCCAAAGAGATCTCACTTCTCTCCTTCTCCCCTACTCATCTGCCTACCTCCTACCATATTAATATCAACACCTGCACCCAGGGGCTCTCATCACAATACCCTTTGCAGCCCAGGCCCTAGACAGTGGTGCAGCTGGTTCTGCAAGTCCAAGACTTGCCAAACACAAGAAGGATACATGCCAAGATCATCCTACTCCAGGACACACCCTGGGCTGGGCATATGCAGCCCCAGACTAAGAAGTGAGAGGGAAAAAGGAAACAAGAATCCTAGAAAATGAAGAGAGGAAGAAAGAAAGATAAGTGTCAGCCTCTCTAGTTTTTCCATCTCCACAGAGGAAAGGCATATGGTCTCCTAGGAAGAGCTCTGAACTAGGAGTGAGGATACCTGAGTTCAGGTCCCAGGTAATCACTAAGCAACTCTATGGCCTGTGGCAACTTACTTCACCTTTCTGAAACTCATTTTCTTCCTCTATAAAATGGCTGATTTGGATTAAACTGAATTCTTGTGTTGGGAATTCCCAATATTCCATGGATCCCCAAAAACCCACTGCTATCAAGTTGATTCCAACTCATGGTGACCCTATGTGTGCAGAGTAGAACTACATACCACAGAGTTTTCAAGGCTGTGGCCTTTTGGAAGACCACCAAGCCTTTCTTCTGCTATAATGCTGGATGGATTCGAACCACCAACCTTTTTGTTAGTAGGTGAGTGCAAATTGTTTGCAGCACCCAGGGAGCTTCGTTTCCTGGATAGGGTTATGTGTATTTTATTGCCCAAACTACGACATTTTGAAGAGTAGAAGGGGGTGATATTGGTAATTATATCAGGACAAGAAACAGGCACTGAGACTGTCCTTGGCATACCCAGACATATAGCCAACCCTCCAGTACTATGAAATGCTATAGACACTTTAAAAAAAATAAGAGTTCTGTGTAACATTGATTTGGAAGACTGCCTTCCTTCAGCCTTCCATATAGCTCATTTAGAAATGTACAATGCACCTGTGTGCTGACAAATGCTGCAATTAAAACAAAACAAACAAACAAGCATTTGTTTAAACTTTGCTTACTTAACATTGCTCAAACGTACTTGATCACAGAACCCTTTTTTTTTTCCCAGCACAGATTTTTATATCCTTTGAAGTACACTGAATGAATATTGACTTACTAGTCAGACAAAGCCAAAATTTCCATCCTCACTTCATGGGTGGATCTAATATCTCATTATTCCAAGGAATTCTTGTGTTTTAAAGCTTACCTGTTCCAGATATGGTGCTGTGGACAGGAGGGACAGAAAGGGGGCCCAGAGACCCTGAGGGAGAGACCTGGAAAACAACAGAAGTTTTAAATGCCAATCCCACTCCCTTCTACAACCTCATACCCTTTACTCAGGATGCTGGGCCCCAGATTCAGCAGAGACCAGGGAAGGGCCTCCTTGATGATTTTTGAAAGCCAAATCTATACTCTATGCTCCTTTTCATAGGAAGGCCTCTGGACCAAGCACATACATCCAGCTCCTATTCTGGTCCTCTCCCATAGCTCCCTGGTGTGTGACCCCATCCCTCACCCTCAATGTGTACACCCTGGCAATATTTCAGCATTGCTACATCAAAGGCTGCTTTGCTCAAGAGCTCTGGTGATGATAGGTATCAGACTCTTGGGCCCCACTGTGGCAGATCTTGCTCATTGCTTGCTTATTTTCCTATGAGAATTTTGGAGTTTGAGGGTGGTACAAACAGTTAACACACTTGGCTACTAACCAAAAGATTGGCAGTTTGAGTCCACCCAGAGGCACTTTGGAAGAAAGGCCTGGTGATCTACTTCTGAAAAATCAGTCACCGACAATCCTATGGAGCACAGTTCTGCTCTGACACACCTGGGGTTGCCCTAAGTTGGAATCAACTCCACAACAACTAGAAAAGAACGCTGCCTCTGCTCGGGGCAGCAGAGTGCCTAGCCCTAGTGATTCTGTTTTGAACTTCCCCACCCTGATTGATGGCAGGAATACACAGAGTCACTGTACCAAAAAGAACTGATCAATCTTCATCCATTTCAGGAAGTGGCATATGATCTAGAACCAATGGTAATGAAGGAAGAAGTCAAAGCTGCAATGAAAGAACTGGCGAAGAACAAGGCTCCGGGAATTGATGGCATACCGATTGAGATATTTCATCAAACAGATGCCCCATTGGAGGCACTCACTCAGTTATGCCAAGAGATTTGGAAGACAGTTACCTGGCCAACCGACTGGAAGAGATCCATATTTGTGCCCATTCCAAAGAAAGGTGATCCCACAGAATGTAGAAATTATAGAACAATATCATGAATATCACATGCAAGTAAGATCTTACTGAAGATAATTCAGAAACGTTTACAGCAGTATATTGATAGAGAACTTCCAGAGGTTCAAGCCGGATTCAGAAGAGGATGTAGAACAAGGGATATCATAGCTGTTGTCAGATGGATCTTGGCTCAAGGCAGGGAATACCAGAAAGATGTTTACTTGTGTTTTATTGATTATGCAAAGGCATTTGATTGTGTGGATCATGACAAATTATGGACAACATTGAGAAGAATGGGAATCCCCGAGCACTTGATTGTACTCATGAGGAATCTGTACCTTGACCAGGAGGCTGTCGTTCGAACAGAACAAGGGGACACTACATGGTTTAAAATCAAGAAGGGAGTGCGTCAGGGTTGTATTCTGTCTCCACACTTATTCAATCTATATGCTGAGCAAATAATCCAAGAAGCTGGACTATATGAAGAAAAACGTGGTATCAGGATTGGAGGAAGAATCGTTAACAACCTGAGATATGCAGATGATACAACTTTGCTTGCTGAAAGTGAGGATGACTTAAGGCACCTACTGATGAAGGTTGAAGAATACAGTCTGCAATATGGTTTACATCTCAACATAAAGAAAACAAAAATCCTCACAACTGGACCAATGAGCAGCATCACAATAAATGGAGAGAAGATTGAGGTTGTCAACGAATTCACGTTGCTTGGTTCTACAATCGATGCCAACGGAAGCAGCAGTCAGGACATTAGACGATGTGTAGCATTGGGAAAGTCAACTGTGAAGGAACTGTTTCAAGTGCTGAGGAGCAAGGATATCTCATTGAGGACTAAGGTGTGCCTGACACAAGCCATGATATTTCCAATCGCCTGGTATGCATGTGAGAGCTGGACAATGAATAAGGAAGACCGAAGAAGAGTTGATGCTTTTGAGTTGTGATGCTGGCAGAGAATGCTGAAAGTACCATGGACTGTTAAAAGAACTAACATATCTGTCCTGGAGGAAGTGCAGCCGGAATGCTCCTTGGAAGGAAGAATGGCCAGACTTCGTCTCACCTATTTTGGTCATGTTGTAAGAAGGGACCATTCCCTGGAGAAGGATGTCATGCTTGGTAGGATGGAGGGTCGACGAAAGAGGGGGAGGCCTTCAAGGAGATGGATTGATACGGTGGCTGCGATGATGGGCTCAAGTATAGCAGGGATTGTGGGGCTGGCACGGGATCGGGCAGTGTTTCGTTCTGCTGTGCATGGGGTCGCTATGAGTCGGAAACGACTCGACGGCACTTAACAACAACAACAACAACAACCCTGATTGATAGCTGGGCCCTGGATTCTACAGAGAAAACTGGAGGAGCTGAACTTTGGTCTCTGAAACTTCATTTTGCCTCATAGTATCATCAAATGAGATTATTTAGAAGGGACATAAAACAATTTAGTGTAACTTCCCACATGGTTCAGGAATCTCCCCCTTGGTACTGCTACCCTACAACAAGATGTAACAGAAACAATGGGCTTTGGAGCCCAGCAGATCTGGGTGTGAGACCTGGCTCCACCATGAACTATGACTTTAGGCAAGTTACCTAACCCACTATGATTTGGTGTTCTCATCTGTAAAATAGCAGGAATGCCTCCCTTATATTTTCTTTTAATTTTTAATGGGATAATATCCATAAAGCTTCCAAGCCAGTGCTTGGTGAAGAGCCCCAGCTTGTTAAGTGTTAGCTCGTTTCCTTCCTGACAGAAGCTGTCTACTGTTGTGCGTCTCTAGATGTCATTAAACTCTTCATTGGCTCTGAAACCTGCAGACGTTCGTTCCCCCTTGCTCTTCTCTGACAGGGGAAGATCTAACCAGTGTTTTCAAAGAATGGTGAAAGGAAGTTCTGCTCAGGGAGTTGTGATTCGATATCTGTCCCCCTAGCCCCCATCCCTAGACAATTTGGAACATCCCTTCTTAACAGGATACAGCATGTACTCATTTTCTAATTAATCAGCAATGGTTCTCACTTCTTTCATTTACCTTTCTTTTGCAATGAGCCTGCCCAGTAGGCTGGGGGCCCATGAAGGGTGGAGATGGGTGTGAGACACCCACTTGGGAGGGGTGGCAGGATGGTAGGAGATGTTATCAATAACATCCCTCCTTCTTCTCCTCCCTCTCTCTCTTGCCACACCCAAGAAATTTGTTGTTGTTTTTAAATAATGTATTTAGTCACTGTAGCCAGATTCCTCTGTTTCCTTCCAGAGACGGGCGATGCATATCTTTCTTCATTTTTAAAAAATATATAAATGGTAACATCCCACAAAGGTCTACACAATGTTGCCTTTTTATTTATTTGCTTGACCTTATGTCTTAGAGATTATTTTATATCAGAAACAGAAGAAACTATGTCCAATTCCCAAGATGTGTGAGACCTGAGAAAACAGCATAAGAAAATTTTTCTCTTTCACTCTTAGGTGAGGCAGCAAAGGGTCAAAGCTTAAAGTAGGTGAGAGGACAGAACGCAGGTAAAGAAGGGTCAGCTGCTCATTATTCTCCCTTCCCTTGTACACTACCCTCTGCCTTCATGACACTATCATAAGTACTAGTGTAATTATTTATTAAATGCCATCCCCCTTTCTAAACCGTAGGCTTCATGAGGCAAGAGAATGCCTCTGTATCCCCAGTGTACCACAGTGCCTAGAGCTTTACAGGGTGCTAAGTAAACATGTATTGAATGAGATAACAAGGAATGAGGCATCTCTCCATGTTGGTGTCCTGGGTAAGAATCGAAACAAAACGTGAACTTCCCTCCCATCTGCTCTAAACAAAGCCCCATCTTTAAAGATTCCAAAGCTCTTATGACATAGCCCAGTTTCCTTAATATGGTCTACACTGCCCCACATTATCCAGCCCCTGCTTATCACTACTGGAGCTCTGGCAGTGTAGTGCCTAAGACATTTGACTGCTAACCAGAAAGCTGGCGGTTTAAACTCATCAGCCACTCTTCTGAAGGAAGAATGGGCATCTACTTCTGTAGTGATACTGCCTCAGAAACCCAAGGAGGTGTCGCTATGAGTTGGCTCCAACTCCATGGCAGTGATTTTGTTTTGTGGGTTTTTTTTTTTTTTGTGTGTGTGTGCTTACCACTACAGCCTCTGCTTTCACACACTCTCTTTCACTGCGTGGATTCCAGCCCATTTCTGCCATCTATGCTTGCTTTTCCCCACACACCTCAGCCTCAGGGGCCTTTGTACACAGTTTCCTCTGCCTAGAATGTTCTTCTCCACACTCATTCTCCCCTTTCCCCAACACAGACCCTTTCCCCATTAATGTCTACTCATTCTTCTGGTGTCAATTTAAACATCATTTCTCAGAGAAGCCCCTGAATCCCCAGACTAGGTTAAACCAAAAACCAAACTCACTGCCATTGACTTGACTCCAACTCATAGCAACCCCCTTTGGGTTTCCGAGGTGGTAAATCTTTATAGAAGTACATTGCCCAGTCTTCCTTCCGCAGAGTGGCTGGTGGGTTTGAACCTTTTGGTTAGTAGTCAAGTGCCTTAGGCACTACGCCACAAGAGCTCCAGACTAAGTTAGGTCATTCCAGTATCTCTACATCTTCTCTGAAGCCTTTATCACAAATAGCGTTTGTTTAACATGTATTTTCCCTACTAGACTGTATGTAGGGATCACATGTGTCTTGTACACCACTGTATCTCTAGCACCAAGCATATAGTGGGTGTTCAATACCTATTTTTAAAAGGAATGAATGCATGCATGGCTACCATGTTGTCTTTAGCTTAAAGGTTTCAATGATTCTTTACAGCTTCTAGAGTAATTTAGCATTCATAGCCTATCTTGATCAAGCCCATATCAACTTCAATATATCATAGTTCCAAACCAGTCTGGCTTCAGCCAGACTGAAATGCTCATGTTTTTTGTTTTTTCTTTTTATTGTGATTTGGGTGAAAATTTATAGAGCATATACACTTTCCATACAGTAGTTCACATACACTTTGTCTCATGACATTGACCACAGTTTACCAC